AGCTTGATGAATTTCGTTTGATTTCAACATTGGAATTTGGAATGAATGGAGGTTCCAAAAACCACATTCACTGTTGGAATTTCATTTGTTTGAGAATTTGTCCATTCTGGTACTTCAAAAAAATTTTTTGGGTCACTATGGTCAAAAAGGATTCATTCCACCCCACTAACAGAGAATCAAATGGATGTCCATAAACAAAAGCCTGCAAGAGGGTTGGACTCTGGCAAACAACAATTGTTACCCTGCAGCATAACCTCTCCTCTACATAGCATTCATTAGTTTTTTGCAGCACTACCAAGGGCCTGAGCACAAAACAAAGGGGCTCCCTAATGGACGCCAACGAAAGGATTTTATGGTGAACTACAACAGTCCCATATTTCTTTTCATCCGTCGTGGAACAGGAATTCAGATACAGTTGTGACATCCAAAAACAGTCCGACTGAGGGGTGGACAACAGAGCAACAAACACTATGGTCCTACAAGTAGAACTGGGCATAGAATGAAGAACGCACGCCCGAATCTGATCGGATGAGGTGAGAATCCCTGCAGGATATGAGAACTTGCTAACAAGACCATAGGGGAACCACAAAGAATCAACCTGGTGCACAAGACCAGGATGGAGAAGGTCACCGCAGGAGGGCAAAGACTCCACATGGGAAGGAATACCGAACCAATGGCAGTTATAAGCTAATTAACCAGAATACCTACAAGAAGCTGCGGGTCAGCCAAAGGACCAGTTCCCAGGTGAAGAGGTTTTACACAGTCCTTTGGACATACTCAGTCCCTGACAGAATATCTACAGAAGAAAGATAGGTTGTTCTGCCTGCTAGCTATCGGGAGACACAGCGCCCTCCAGCGATCATCCCTGCCCACCAATATAGGGTCTATGGTTCACCCAGGTGTGCAAACCTCTCTTTGTGCGGAGGCTACTAGTTAAGGAGAAAATTAAAACCCAGCAGATCTTGCATGCTCTCCAGGAAGATGATGACTGCAAGGTTACAATTAGGTGACTTCACAGGAAGTAGTCTGTGCATCCCAGAGTAAGGTTGCTAGGCAAGGACACAAGACTGAACACAAGGGCCAATGTTCCAAGGAGCAGCAGGTGTTCCCAGGTGACGCTAAAGGTCCAGATCCTTATCCAGGTGGGGGGACATCTAAAGCAGATGCCTGTGTACCTTGTAGGTCAGCGGGTCCCTCTGAAATGAAGAGATGTTGCAAGGTATCATATACCACAAAGGGTTTCTTTTTCTATGTCCCTGGGATCTGGGCTGGAGTAAGGGGTCCAGGTGTAAGGGAAACTCCATGAGATTTGGAAGGGTAACTTCTCCTGTGCTGCATCTCTGGGAGCGGTGGGGGGTGATTGGAGTGATTAAAGCTCCTGAATGTTATAGAGAGAAACTACCAAAGAACCCACCATAACAATCAACCCCCTTGAAGAACCTTCATATAGAATGTTTTTCAGAAGGGTTAGCTGACCCCTAGGTTTGAGGCCTATAGGCTGAGCGGGTGTCAAGGTCTGAGGACCTAAGAGCACCTACTGAAGAAGTAGATGAGGGAGGAGGATGGGGTCCAGCCAACCTCTCCGTAGACCACCTACCTTTAAGGAAGGATTATGCTCTGGCCTCCCATAGCATTACTGATCAGTGTCAAGTGCAGGGCCAGAGAGATGACATCCCTCGAAGGCCAAGCAAGTTACATGCTCCTTGCAAATGTCAATAGCTTCTCAGCAATAGAACAAGAGTGCCCTGTAAAGCTTGGGAAGCTTCCAATTCTGCAGCCCGAATGGCCCTATTCACAAATGAGTCTTCAGACAGGTTCATGAGTGGTGCTGTGCTACAGCTCTGGATCTAGAACACGTGCTCCATAGCTGATATTTACCAACTCAGGTCTGGAAAGCATCACAGCACAGAGCCCAGTGCCAGAAGGTCACATAAGCTAGTCCTGCACATTCGGTACAGCAAGGTCTGGGTATGGTACTCCAAAGTCATGCTGAGAAAAGACTGATTCAGATAGCTTGGGACCAGCTCAAGCAGTGATGTAGCAGGGAATGCTGATTGAAGTTAATAGTGGAGGAAACCCGCAAACACAAGTGAAGAAAATAGGGCTAGCAAACATTGAGCCGACATTTCCTAGCACAGCTGAACGAAGACATCTGTTCTCCTAGGACACTAACAAACAAAAAACAGGCAAGCTGGCTGGAGTTATTTTGGGGGTTGCCTTACAATTTTTTCTGTTTGCCTGTATCCAATCTGTATACTTCTGTATGTGACAGTAAAACCCGACTGTGTCTGAATTCCTGTGTCCCTCAATGGATGAGAACGAAAAGCAAATTGGTACAAGAGGTCACCAATGTGAATGAGCAGAGTGGAGAGCACTGGAATTCTGTGGCGTCTGTGCAGAAGTTGCTACATAGTATTGTTATATACAGTGTGTGTGTGTGTGTAAATATATATATATAATTACACATACATACACACACGTTTGCAGGATAATCATTCCATTCTTGAGAAATAAAATCTAGTAGATAATCTGTATCCTGTTGAATCTTCTCCGGACTGGATAAGCAGTTTGGGGGGAAAAATGTGAACATGTAGAAAATCCTTCCTCTGAACCACTTTAATCAGAAGGTCTCCCACATCTTACATGGGGGTTACACAGACGCTTATATTTAATAGTGGAAGCATTTCTGTAGGTCCCAGTAAGACTTTTACAGTCATTGCAATGTGTTTTGCTCCAGGTTTTCAGGTGATATCTTTGGATGTTGTGTTTGAATGGCTTCAGATCATTCTACAGCACTTCGATGGTTTTGAGTTCAGGACTGCCAGGTAAGCCATTCCTTACTATATAATTTGTTCTATTTGGGCTTCTCTGTTTATTAACTTCTTTACATTTGGATTAAATGTCCTGGCATTTCCTGTAGAATTTCCTCATACAACAATCAGTACCTCAAAACGCACAAGCTGTGAAAGCCCTAAGGCATCAGTCTTGAGCCTCACAGATGATGACATTTTGTATCTGTAATCACCAAATCTGTCCAGTAATGCTGTAGACATGTAAAATGTGTATGTATAGAAATATATAATGTATATTAATTTGACTTGGGTAAATGTCAGATCACATTGTAGGATCCTAAGGGTTCACAAATGTGTTCCTCACGACTAATTATTTTGTTTGATAGAGCACCCTTCTTGGAGCTAGGCACTTCGCCCACTGAACAGCATAGGCTTTAGGGTCTACTGGTCAATAAGCAGCCAAGTTAGTGAAGAAAGCAATGGCAGCTTCTGTGTCTCTCAGGAAACCAGCTTTCGGGACTACCACACTGTGTCAAGCATATTGAATTGATCTGCTGTGTCATCAGTAGTGTCGATGATCTGGGTGAAGGAATTTAATTTTTGATTGCAGGGAAGAACCATATTTGGAAAGATTATTGGAAACGCAGTAATGATTGTGTAGGAAACGATGTTCTCAGGCAGTAGATCTGTCATAAGAGTGATGCACTACATCACCAATTACTGGTGGACACCTGACCATCACACCTATATGAGCTTGTTGGACATCTCATTCTAAAAGGAGTTAATATGGAGTTGCCCTCCCCCTCCCAACCTCCACCCCACCACCCCTCCCAACCTCCACACCACCCCTCCTCCCCCCCTTTGTGGCTAGAACAGCATTCTCTCTTCTGGGAAGGGTTTCCACATGATTTTGGACTGTATGTTGGAATTTGAGGTCATTCAGCCAAAAGAGCATTTGTGAGGTCAGGTACAGATGTTGGATCAGAAGACCTGGCTAGGAATAGGCATTCTAGTTCATCCCAAAGGTGTTCAGTAGGGTTGAGGTCAGGGCTCTGCAGGCCACTTGGGTTCCTCCACACCAAACTCATCCAGCCATGTCTTTATGGAGCTGTTTTGAGGCACGGTCACTTGACTATGACTGGAGCAAATGGTTAACGGACCCTGGATGCAATTTCTAAGGGTCAAATGTCAATGTCACTCTTCTTTCTCACGCTACACTTAATAGAAACGGCCTAGTACTTACTTTTTTGATTTTCATGTTTAACATCCTTACTCTTACTGTATTCCTTCTTTATTGCATATAAAACCCAAATCGCTGTGCTTTTGTGAAACGTGACTAGGAGTCTAGAGACACTGAATTGCTGAATGTACCCTGACCGGCATGTCAACTGAAAACTGCAAGACGATAATAGGACATTAAAACATCTTTGTGTGCTGTAACATTAGCAGTACCCTTCACTGGAAACACCAACAATTTAGAGGTGGGCCCACCCTACTTGGGCTGCCATTGTTAACGCAGAAGATGCTGCTTGCCTGGTTTATATGCTAATCATCTGGTCATAACACGGAGTCACTGACCCATAAAAAGTATGCAGATGAGTTTTGATGTTCTATACTCCATCGTAGTGAGCACTGGAAACTGCATCACCCAGAGAACTAGTAACTTCTGGTAGTCAGCAATGGCAGCCCCTGTATTTGTCTCATGGCAGGCTTCCTCTGACAAGCTCCTAGAGCCTGGGAGAATCTGTAGCATATGTTTACTATAGGACAGATCTACCTCCATAAACATTTTGGCAATAGCGGCTGTTCTAAATTTGCAAGAATTAACAAACCTGATCCAGCTCTAAACTTTCCATGATGATATGCGCGGCTGGCCTGTACGCAAGTACCAAACAACGCTTCTGTATCAGTGTTATCTTAATTGTTTTATCTATTGCAAGAATGTTCAATGAATTCACGGTATGGTCGTGACATGGTACATCAGTCCGTCACAGTCAATATGAGTGTTTGAGCAATCACATGATGGACACCACAATAAGTGCTACACGCAGAACATAATTCATCCAGTGTTCCTCCCCCCCCACCCCCACCCTCACTTGTGAGTCCTGGTATTGTCTGTACAGTTCTGGATCTCGTACAGTCCATTGACATGACCTCAGCTGCTCCCAGTACTTCTGAAGTCTTCTGTCTTTGTACCCAGCATTGTTGCAGAGTCGGCACAGTGTGAGGAAAGTGGTCATTATATATGCGCCGCTATCAGCGTCCTTGTTAGATGTTCTCAGGAGCCCTTTGCAAAAAAAAAACCATCTCAGTCATGCAGTCCAGCTCCGCTCTGTGTTGACCAGCTCCATTCCTTCAAAATAAGAGTGGGGCCTGCGAGCGTGGAACTGGAATGAAATAGAACAGGTCAGTCCAGCTGCCTTATGGCATTGTTTGCAGTTATACAGAGTGGGTAGCTTAGAACAACCAGTGTGCTGATTTAAAGTAAGTCTCCCCAATCACCCTGCCCAAAGCACCTTCTCCTGCCTATACTTACCCCACAAAGTTACCAGCAAGTGTTGACAAGATTCATGAAGTGGCACCCTCCCCTCCATGTGACAGTCCTTGTGCCCGGTCAGGGGTGTAACTAGAAATCACAGCAACATTTTGTATTGGGCCCTGTGATTTCTAGTTACACCCCTTGCAGAGCCCACTCGAGATCCCACACAGCCCACCTGTGGGTGACCCTGCTCTGAAGCGTCTCAGGTGGGCTGGTCACACTCCTTACCTGTCCGCCTCCTCTTCCTCCATGGTTGCTGATGGGCCCCACCCCCTCCTCCATCACTGGGGCCCGCCTCCTCTGCTGCCAACCCCGGGCCCCGCCTCCTCCACTTCCCGGTCCAGCCTCCTCCACCGCCAATGCTGGCTCTCACTGACTCAGCTGTGGAGAGGAACACACTGCTTCACAGATCACTGTCAGTGATCTGAACAGCGGCGCGTTCCTCTTTATAGCCGCCAGTGACAGCCAGCAGCATGAGATGCCATAGCGACCTAGGTGGCCCGCACAGCATCAGGGATGTCCTGGCCGGGCCCTCCTGTGCCCCATAGAGGCCGCTTGGGTCGCTATGGCGATTGTTACACTACTGTGCCGCTAACCACGCCTGAGCTATGTTGGCACGACTAGAAAACAGTAATGACTGTTGTAGTGTTGGAAGCATTTATCAAAGCGCACAGGATTTCCAACACCTTGTATAATCAACTCACTGCTAATTGCACCCTTTCCTACAGCTAGACGTTCTGCCCATGTGCTGTATGCTCTCTGTGTTTTACAAATGAACATACATGACAAAGGATTCCCAGAGCATTATGGGTTAGCTTAGGAGAGTATAGCAGTAATAGATCTCATACAGAAACTCTCACTGCTTGGAAACCTTGGATGGGCCCTTAGGGTCTGTGCTGATGGGCTTTGGGCTCGCATTGATGGGCAAATGGAGCCTGTTTAGGGGTGCAGGCAGTTTGCATGTGACATCAAATTAAGATTCTTCTGAGACTTTTCGGTGCATTTGACCTGCAATTGACTTCCTTCTGTTCTGTATTTAATCACCTAACCTGCTTTGCATTTCCATTAAATTGTATGTCACTGTGTGTGTGTGTGTGTGTGTGTGTGTGTGTGTAGATTTCTATCTTGAGCTATTGAACTGTATCAACAGACTATTTACAACAAAGGAGATACAGGAAGTGCTGGCAGCAAAAGTTTGGATAAATATTTCCCCCGCCTAGAAAAGCCCAAGACATAATAAAGGAAAATGTATACAAAACCACTACGTGTTTGCTTTAAACAGAACTCTGGGCAAATCAAGTCTTAACCCTTGAAGTGTGGGGAAGGGGTAGCCCCACTGTAAGGGTTAAGTGCTGGTTTTGTCTCGGTGCAAAAATAACAAAGTTAAGCTGGCCATACACCTATAGATTATCTGCAGACTTTCTTGGGTCAAAGTGCAACAGATTCCTCCATCTACGCTACACTGTGTGGATGGAGGAATCTCCTGCAGGGCCAAGCTTAAGTAGATTGCTAGTCGGTTCTGTTGGCTCTCAAAATACCTGAACAATCTGATTGGATGCCGGCATTGTTCAGGTGTTTTCAGAGCCAGCGGGGCCGACTAGCAAGATAGTGAAGCTTGGGCCAGCGGGAGATTCCTCCATCCACACAGTTTAGCGTATATGGAGGAATCTGTTGCACTTTGACCCTAGAAAGTCTGCTGATCATCTATAGGTGTGTGGCCAGCTTTAGACTCAGCTGAACTGTAATCCCGGCTGGCTCCTACACTGCTCCAGTGATGGTATGTCTGTCTGTGTCCTCATGTTCTATGCACCAGGATGACTCACTGGACCTTAGACCGCTGAAGCAGAGGGGGAGTGAGGCTGAAGGGACCGGTCTAAGAGCAAGCCGGGAGAATGGATCGTGTGAGTATAACTTTTGTTATTTTAGCTTCCTGGAGAAAACAAGCACTTAACCCCAGGGGCGTCCCGAGGCTGGGTGATACCCGGAGCGGTGTCCGAGTGTCACCCCGTCGAGACGCACGCGCGGCAGTATTCTGATACCTGTCGGCGGCCATCTTGGTGATGGACGCCGGCAGAGAGAGGAGACAGCCACCCAGAGGGATAAGGTATGCGCCGGGTCCCCACCTCTCTCCTGATACTGTCGGGCGTTCGGTCCATGACCTAGCGCCCGACTTTTCAGAGGGGGGTGACACCAAAATGACTAAGTAATTTTGGTGTCACCCCTCCAATGGTAACCCTTGTGATGCCACTGCTTAACCCTTACAGTGCCAGGGAGAAGATTTGTTTTAAAGATAACCTGTTATTTTGTCTTGCGTGGGCAAAGCACAGGTTCACTAGAAGGAAGGAATAATACTGCAATGTGCTGCCTTAGACATAAGGCCAGAGATGGTTTTTACCCTTCTGCAGCATTTTCAGGCTACACTTCCAGTAACTACCAAGCATGACCCCCTAGGCGGCTCCACTCACTGGAGACTGTAGAGACAGCTGGTGCAGGATGGGGAAGGGAGTCCAGTGAATGGGTTCCATCGGCCAGCTGCACACCGACACGTCACTCGCCTTACCGGAATCAACCATCAGGTCATTGACGCTGCTGCAGCTTGTCTCCAGCCTGAAACACAGCAAAGTCATGTCCGTGTTATAAAATGTATCCCATTCATCATGTCAGCAGTCACAGGATAATCAAGGTCAGGACTGAAGGTCAAGTCACGTTTATAGCAAAACAAATGTGATCAATCGACATTATGTAATGAGGGGGCGGGGACATCTTTTGTATCTCATTACGCCCACTTGGTTGTTCTGCTTTCCTATGTTTATGACTCTTTTTCCTTACAAGGGTGTTACTAGAATTCTAAGAGACCCGGGACTCCACAAAAAGGGTGAAGTGCTCCCATACAGTGCTTGTCATTGTAGTGCTCCCTTATATTGTGGTTATGGGGTGAATAGGCATAAGCTCAGGTTTGGGCCAGACCTGGAAGGCACATGGGGCTACCTGCCCAATCAGCTGCAGGCCGGGTTATATCCTGTCCCACAGCTGCACATAAAGGGACGGAATGCTTGTGTTGATTTCATTGACTTTATATGGCCATATTAGGTCAATGTCATTAACCAAATACAGCCATTTGGCCATATAAGGTCGGATGACATCACACCATCCCACCCCTTAGCTTATGTGCAGTGGCGGGTGGAGAATTCCAGATCCAATAGCTTATTGCGTGGCTTCTGCAGCCCCGGGAAGGGATCTGACGGCAGCTGAGCCACCGGAATCGCTTCCATTGCAAAGCCGACAGTCAACTTTTCAAATGCATAGAGTCCTCGCAGCTAAAGCCGGCGGGAGTATATTTAATGGGGTCCGACATATGTATGACATATGTTGGTGGCAGCAACAGGGTTAACTATAAATCCAATCAAGCCTCTGCCGCTGGGAGCCATGCCTGTGGCTGTCGGTTTTGCAATGTCTCATCGGACTTTTAGTTCCACAACAGCTGGAGGGCCAGAGTTGCCCCCCCCCTTCTTTAAAGTGACACCCAGCCCTCCCATTGAGATTGGTGTGTAGCATGCCCCAGCTGGAGCAGAAGGCTGCTTTAAGGCGACAACAAGGCGGCTGTACACATTGTGATGAAGATTTTCTGGAACACATGTAACAGGCGAATATTTTTATTCTTTTTTTTTTGTATAAAACGTTCTTTTCTCGATAATATTTCTGTGACAAGTATGGAAACTGCCCTATGACTACTAAGCCATGCGAGCCATCCACACAAAGAATGACATTGCCCGGCCAGTGATCACATGACCCACGTGTGGTCTGTAGGACGGCTCTGGTGCTCTATAGTAAAGCGTGGAGTCAACACTTTCTATGCACAGCCCTCATTCATACCATTAATCCCCTTATAGAGATTAAGGCCCATCGGAGAGGCTGTCATGTGAATCCCTCACTGGGGCCTAATAACACGATGTAACCATTGCATCGAAAATCCGTCACCTTTCAATGAGGACTAAATGTAAAAATACAAAAATATTCTAATGTGAAAATATAATGAAGTTTACTGAATATGTCCGGCACTTCCCTCTCATCCTTGCATTAAAATTAGGGATGCACCGATACCAATTTTCCGGTATCAAGTTCAAGTACCGATATTTTTTTTCCGGTATTTGCCGATATTGATACCAGAAGTCCCTTTAAGGAAGCCATAAGGCAAGTCATTACCCGCCCCCCGGCTTCCCGAGTAGCAGGGAAGCCGTCATCATACTTCCTCGTCAACAGGTGACGAGGAAGCATGGAGCCGGCTTTCTGGCCAATCGGGAAGCCAGGTGCCGTATAATGACTCGTTGCCTAGCTTCCTGATTGGTCGAGAAGCTGTCCAATCAGGAAGCTGGGCAATGATTGGCCAGCTTCACGACCAATCAGGAAGCCGGGCAGTGAGTCATTACAAGTGACGAGGGAGCATGGAGCCGACTTCACGGCCAATCAGATATCGGGCTAGGCATCGGAGCATTTGGGCAACTACGAGTACTCGTCCTAGGGTGACAACGCTGCTCCTCCATTGATACAGTACAGTGAGTGACGCGTGAGCATTGTCACCCTAGGACAGGAAGTGTGTTACTTGAGGAGAAAAAAAAAGAAAACTAATGCAGCCACCACATCTATGAGCCCCCCACCCCCCATCTAAACAATCCCACCCTCGCCCTCCGCAGATCTAGACTAACTAATAGCTGAAGGCCACTGCTCTGATTGTTGATATCCAGTGCTGCAAGTCTCCCTCTCCTGGCTGCATCCGTCTCCCAGCTGGGAGATGGCCCCATAGAGGTCTATGAGGCTGTAATGTGCAGGTATAGCCAGCAGAGGGAGCAATGCAGCACTGGAATGTAAATAGAGGGAACACTGCCTGCCAAATCTAAGTAAGTACGGCTTTGCCGAGGGGGGCGTGGGTGGCTGGGATTGTTTCCGTCAGGGGTGGGGGGAAGGTTGCTGGCCCCTGCTGTACACACAAGTCCTCTAATTACTAAAAGGCTCACAAACCCATAAGCTGAATTTACACATGATCTAGAGCAGCCTTTCTCAAAGTGCTGTGGCTCTCCGGGGGTGCCTTCTGACTTCTTCAGGGGTAGCTCGAAAATTTTGTGCAGCGTCATGACGCTAATCCAGAAATTGTGGGATCCAATGGTCCAGGCCTGCTCCACCTCCCACCCTCTGCCATACTGCTGCCGCCATGGCTCCTGATGGTGGGACTCAGATGTGAAGGGGGCTTCTGATCTGAAGGGGGAACTTTGATATGACGAGGAGCCCCATATGCTTTTGCATGGGGTCCACCCTTAAAATCTATACCAGACTCCTATCTAGGATAAGGGTCTGGTATGGGTTTTGGAGGGGTCAGATGTTCACATTTGGGACTGGGGTGCCTTAAGATTTTGTATACTTTTAAAGGGGGCTGTCACTGAAAGGCTCATCTAGAAACCCCCTTTATGATCACTCTGAAAATCTAGGTCAGTGTGTAAATTGTCCACACGGAAGAGGTCAGACCATCGCCCGCCGCGTGCCAATTGATTGTTTGTGTCTATGCCCAATCAGACTCTCTTCCTGATTCCATCGTGTCTGTATAATGGAGCGCAGGATGGAAAAACACAGCAGGGAAATAAACCATTAATTAATCGGCTATCTATTCAACCATCTGTGGCAGAGACGCATTGCAGAGGCCACAGGGGAAGGGGAGGGGGGACAATTTTCCTTAAAAAATAAATAAATAAATATCACGGCGCTGTTCCCATCGTGTGCCAGGATGCAGTACTGGTCGGAAATGTTAGCTGTTTGTAAGCTCTGACAACTACAAGGGGGGGGGGGGACAAGACCAGTCACCCTGCACATGGGGAGAGAGCAGCAGTGAGCGGTCTTTATTATAGGAGGGGGCGGAGACAAGACCAGTCACCATGCACAAGGAGAGAGAGCAGCAGTGAGCGGTCTTTATTATAGGAGGGGGCGGAGACAAGACCAGTCACCATGCACAAGGAGAGAGAGCAGCAGTGAGCGGTCTTTATTATAGGAGGGGGCGGAGACAAGACCAGTCACCATGCACAAGGAGAGAGAGCAGCAGTGAGCGGTCTTTATTACGGGAAGCTCCACGTCTCACACGGGATAACTGGACAGATCTGGAAGAAATACACAAAGCTCACCAAGATTGAAGGAGGAATACACAGGACTCTGGTATTTGTTTTGTCTGGCGTTTAGCTTCAAGTGCTTTCACATGACACAGTGGAAGTGTTACAATGCAGTGGACTCAAAACTAACAGTTTTGCTGCAATGACTGGACTTGACAGGGTCTCTTTACATACAGAAAACACATTGTGCCCGCTGTATGTGAGTACATAGCCCCAGACATCATTACACCTACAGCATGCTTCATATTCCTGATGTGGATCATCTGTTGGATCATGTGCCGGTCTGTTGGGGCTACATGTGTCCACGCAGTGTGAAGTCCTCCGCACATCCATTGATCCGCTCCCCTCCCTTCCCCATCCCAACACTCTCCTGCCCTACACATCCTCCCTGCAGCAGCATCCACAACACTGGCAGCAGCTCAGAGAGGAGTATAACCATGACAACAGCTCGACCAATCACAGCGCTGTGTCCCTGCACATTCGGAATACCTCCACAGCTAAGGTGCCGGGGTCTTTGAGCTGCTGGGGGATGCATTAACCCTCTCAGAGCCAGATTGGTGGGAAAGATGTCTGATTAAATATTCGCTGCACATCCAGCCGCTGCCGCCGCCAAGCGCAGGCGCGGAATCACAGACATGCAAATTGCCCATTTGTGTCTGGCTTTCCCGCCCAAGACATTGCTCTTCCTTTCCCAACTACAGAATCAGATCTGACGGCCATTAGAGGAAGACAGCCGAGCCCGAGGGGAAGATCCAATTTGAATTGTGTGGGGCTGACAGGACTGCCAGTCATGAGTCGGAGTTCAGTCATCGGGGTGATGGAGGGAAAAGCAGCCGGATTCTCCCGTTCCTTCTCCCAGTGCAGCATGGTGGAGGGAGTGGAAGAATCTGACTGACTTCCTGAGGCAACACAGACAGTCTGAGAGTATCCATCATATAATGGGGTCCCTTACCGCCCTGTCCACGGGGTCCCTTACCGCCCTGTCCGCGGGGTCCTTACCGCCCTGTCCGCGGGGTCCTTACCGACCTGTCCGCGGGGTCCTTACCGCCCTGTCCGCGGGGTCCTTACCGCCCTGTCCGCGGGGTCCTTACCGCCCTGTCCGTCATAACCACATGTCCTTAAAGTCTTTACTGACCTGTCCATGTGATCCATACCGACCTGTCCATTAGCTGTCATTTGAGTATTGTGGTACACAGCAGGCTAAAGCTCACCCCACATGTTCCAATCTGATTGTAAAATCCCTTAAGGTGGCCATACACTGTACAACCATCGCAAGACCTTAGTCTTGCGATGGTTGTAAAGGGATTAAAAAAACGTACGATCTGCCCATCTTGGACAGGCAGATCGCACTCTCGATCATCGCAAGCCCGCCCCCCTGAGGGGCGGGCTTCCGATGACCGCAATGCTGAACGGGCAGTGTGCGCGTGCGCACACCGGCCCGTTCAGCATTTGTCTAGAGCACCGTTCTAACCAGCCGAGAATCGTACGATTCCCGGCTGGTTTTCAAACATGCTGGTTCGACGGAAGACGTGCGACCGTACAGTAGAAACGGTCGCACGTCTCCGTTCACACTGCTCGATTCTCGTACGATCGCGGGCTTTCCCGCGATTCTCGTACGAGAATCGAGCAGTGAATGGGCACCTTAACACTGGCCATACTCTATACAACCTCCTTTAGCTATTCCATCACCTGAGTGACACGATATGAATGAATTGTTTAGGGTTTCCCCCATTCCATGGATTTGGTAACTCCAAATGAGACAATTGGTGTATATAGTATGTGGTCATCTCATAAATGATTTGCATAGTTTTGGTCTTCTAAAATGAGATTGCACAGATTGGTCGGTCAGATTGTAACGTGTATGGTGAGCTTTAGGTGTACAAAACATTTATATTTAGACAGGCAGAACCCTGTACATCAGATTGTAAGCTGCATAGTCATAGTTTTCCTGCTACCATGGCGGCACTAGGCACTCATACAGCCAATCACACGCGTGCTTTTATTTCCTGACCTGCACTACAAGACAGATGACATGTGATTTGCTCTGACATATAGTGAGAGTCACAATTACTTAAAGCGGGGTGGGAAACCTTCACTAGCACACACCCCTCCTCCTAAAATGCCGTAGCCTTCTATTCTTCTGGGAGTGTCTAATTATTATCTGTGCTGGCCCAGCTCCCCCACCATCCCATCACTTTCCTACATAACCTTTCATGTAGCTGCGAAGGGGAATACTACAGACCAGGGGTGGGCAATCCTGGCACTCCAGCTGTTGTGGAACTACAAGTCCCACTGATGCACTTCAAGACTCTGACAGTCCCAGGCGTGACTCCCAGAGGCATGATGGGATTTTTAGCTTCATCACGGCTGGGGGGCCAAAGTTTCACTAACCCTGTTCTATCGGCGTTCAACACTACCCAGATGCACTGAGACATTTCCAGATCTCTGCAGCTGCGGACCGGGAACATGTCTCAGTACCAGTGATTGGCGCTGTCAGCTTCCTGGCGGGCTCGGCACGTGGAGCTGCGAACACGCCCGAGCCTATCCTTAGTAATACAAACCTGACCAGGGTACTAACTGTCTGTGTGTCCTTTAGGCCTCATTCACACTAGAAAAAGCCGGCACGTACAGTTCCGTGCTGCGTGCACGGCCGTATCGGGCAGCTCCCGGGAAGGACAGGTGCTGCGTGTGATTAGTACCTGGTTAGTGGTCACCCGGGCAAAGAGAGACGGTGTTTATCTCCCTAAGGGCCTCATTCACACGAGAAACGGCCGGCACGTACAGCTCCGCGCTGCGTGTGATTAGTACGCAGCCCCTGTCCTTCTCTATAGGACTACGTGGCCGTACGCCGCCTACGCTCACCCGCCCTGCACGTCCATGGATGGATCCTGTCGGCGTCTGAGCCGGGACACCTGCACCCGTACGGACCTGCACTTGGGGTGGGCGTATGGCCGCGTACTCCCATAGAGAAGGACAGGGGCTGCGTACTAATCACAAGCTGTACGTGCCGGCCGTTTCTCGTGTGAATGAGGCCTTAGGGAGATATACACAGTCTCTCTTTGCCCTGGTGACCACTAACCAGACTCATGAAACCCAAAACCGTGAGCTGTCACCAACACAGAAATAGATGGGAAACCATCCAATGATGACAACCGTGTAAGAGGGGTTTTCCCTCACTTTGCAGTGATCTCACTTCCTGTTGGGTCTACAGTACAGGAAGTGGAGGTAAATCTCCTCAATCAGACACAAAGTGCTCAATTGAAGTCAGCACCAGTCACCGCAATGCAGCAGTAGATAGCTGTCAATGAAATGTCCTTTAAAAATTCAATAAAGCTTGAAGAAAAAAAAGACAGTGCCTTCCATTGTGCCAGTGCCCAGACTGCATGCTATGACTGAGTGGGTGTGTGAACGTCGTGGACTAAAAGTATCTACTGTCCCTTTATACACCAAAATAGGAATGAATGGTACCTGGGAGGGGCCCCTGATGGCTCCTGGGCTGGGTTGGCAGGGGCGGTGTTGCGGGCCCCATCCTGACAGCCGCACACGCAGCTCCCCAGGGCCTGCAGAGGAAAGACTTCTTCAGAGCTGCTGAAAGCCGGATTGTCCAGAGAGTTGATGGAGGCCGAGGTGGTGAGCCACGTCTGGGAGGGACACCAGAAATGAGTGGGGACGTCATCGAAGCGGCTGAATCTCCTGTAGCTGAGAACAGACACAGTGTCAACTCAAAGTGAAAAGTAAAAGGATCAGGCACCCCTCCCTCTGCACCCCCTCAGCACCCTGACTCCCCAAAATTCTGTTCAGCCATTGAGACCGGAGATGTGTAAGGGCTCTGCATCTCCTGAGACGCTCTGGCCAGGGTCCCGCCGTGCTCCTGGCAACCAGTGACATTTACCATGCCTTGTTCTCTATATGGAGACGGCCATCTTGGTAGAGGCAGGGCTCTACTTCCTCCCGTCAGAGCCTCCAGCAAGGAGAACAGTGATCAGCACATTAGTGACATCACCAGATCTACACCATACAATCTGATTGTACAATCTCCTTTATGAGGACAAGCCAGAGCAATTCAAATCAGACGCACGCTTGCATTACATCAGGGGTAGGCAACCTCGGCCCTCCAGCTGTGGTGAAACTACAAATCCCATGATGCATCTCTCTCCGGGAGTTATGTCTGTGGCTGTGAGAATCTTTCAATGCCTCATGGGATTTGTAGTTCCACCACAGCGGGAGGGCCGGAGTTTGGCTACCCCTGCATTACATCAAGGGTAGGCAACCTCGGCACTCCAGCTGTGATCAAACTACCAATGCGTCATGCATCTGCCTCTGGGAGTCATGCCTGTGGCTGTCAGTGTCTTGCAGTGCCTCATGGGACTTGTAGTTCCACAACAGCTTGAGTGCCGAGGTTGCCTACCCCTGTATTACATAATGCGATCTAAACGAGATTGTATAGTGTGCGGCCAGAGGGACTTTCACTGCACATCAGGGACAACCGGCAGTCCACAATTGTAATTCTCTGTCTGCAGCCTGTACAGTTCACGACAGAAAGAGAATTTTAGATGACAGCGTAATGTGCAGCTTCCAGAAAGCTTTTAGTGTTGCCTCTCCTCAGCAGTTACCATAGCAACAGATAGCCTGGCCAGGTCCGGCTTGCTGTCTCGCAGTGCGCCCTGAGAATCCATTCTCACCAGCAGGGGGCGATCACTGAACGGGCGATATTCTCCGGCGTACACATCAAGCAATTGATGCAAACTCAGCCTGACTGAGCGCGGGGAAGCGTTCCATTAAAATGCCAACTCTGATTGGCAGGAGGTGTTGCCCGTGGTAACCGCGCTCCAACACACTAACGTCAAACGTGATTGGTTTGCTCTGGATAACACAACCCAATGTTCTCAATTTTATATATATATAAATAAAAAAAAGTCATAAAGCAAATCGCAGGTTGCCATGGCAACAAGTCCATCTAAAGCACACCGGCGCCATTTGCTGTAACGTTTTTAAAGGGACGGCGTACGCATATGATAGAATCTGTATATGTGGCATTTGTGGAAAATGTATATTTGCCCCCTTATTTAGCTCATTTCACAATGATAAGGTTGCTCATTTTCAGCCATGTGACTGTCATTTTTAAATCTCATTGGATGCAATGCAAACAACTGTCACCTTAATAAAAAAAAAAAAGGAGCATTTTCGTGGTGTGGAAGCTTTGTGAGCTGAACCTTTTGTCTGAGTGTTAGGGTTCGTTCACACCGGCCCACATGTTAACCCCACCCAAAGCTTTCACACAAAGATAAGGTTGCTCATTTTCAGCCATGTGACTGTCATATTCAAATCCCATTGGACGCAATGCAAACAACTGTCACTTTTTTTTTTTTCATAATGAGGATCGTTCTCCTGGTGTGGAAGCCTTGAAAGATGAACCTTTTGTCTGAGTGTTAGGGTTCCTTCACACAATCCTATGTGTTAAACCCCCCCATATTAGTGCAACGGGCTGGTGTCCATTGTGTAGGGCGTGGGGGGGGCTGTGCGCTGTATTGCTAACGCATCAAACTATTTTATTTTTTTCCTTAACTTTATTGAAGTGTCACAAAACGACACTTTCTTCTAGTCCCCGCAGCGTGCCCAATGAAGTCCGGCGACATGCAGACCTGCTGCAGGTTTATGCAGCGCCATGCATCTCAGCACTGTGTTGTGTACTTGTAGTTCCACAACAGCTGGGGGCCAATGTTTGCCTACCCCCTGCGATACAGACTTATGATGGTTGCAGCGTCCGCATAAGGGTTGGGCAGGAGAAAAGGGGCACCAGAGATGTAAGTATACGCTGCATTCTATGGCAGGGAAATGTAGACGGAGAATCTATAAATCATACAGCACATGTAATCTTCCATAATATCATGTATTCAGATCATTACATAAGCCCAGTTCTGATTGGCTCATCGAAGGTATAAGCCAGCGGTAGGCAAAATCGGGCCCTCTGGCTGTGGTGCAACTACATATCCCATGAGTCATTGCAAGACTCTGACAGCCACAGGCATGACTCCCAGAGGAAGCAGCATGCTGGGGTTTGTAGTTTCACCACAGCTGGAGTTTGCCGACCCCTGGTATAAACCTTTAATGGAATGTACCATTGCTGGAGCTCTGGGGTTGTCATCTATGGCCCAACCAGTCCTTGACCCGCAAGAATCTTGTGTGTTACATGCGCAGTCCATCATAAAGCTGAAAGGGAGATGGTTGCTACAGACATATGCTCCATTTCCTGTAGACCCAATTACCTGCTCTGCGTCTGAGCCACTTTCTGCTGAAGGATCTGAGTCTGGAACCTGCGGACCAGGATGAAGACGGCTGCCGCGGCGCAGATGATGATGCAGAACACGACAGCGCAGGCAATGGCGGCAAGGCGGTGATGGGTCATTCGATAATCGCAGGAGGGTCCCATGTACCAGAAATCTCTGCCAACCGGGCACCTGACAAGATAAGGACGGGCTGGATCAGAGCAATAAAGAAATGGCTGACAGGGACAGGAAGTGCTGGAATAATGCTGATTACAGTGTCATAGTGGGAGGAGCTGGGAACCTGGAGTGGAGGTCTCATGGCCGGAGTCTTCAAGAAGCATAAAAAGCTGGTGGGAAATTGACCAATTACCCAGTTCAGGTGGACTGAGGCCAGAGAACCAAACCCCAACCTAGCCGGGCATTATGGGAGGTACAATCTCGTGTGTCTCATGGACTCCAGCGCTGAGATCTTCACATTGGAGCAACCAACGTCCATCATCCACCTTATTGCAGTATCATAGTGGGAGGAGCTGGGAACCCGAAGTGGCGGTCTCAAGAAGCATAAAAAGCTGGTGGGAAATTATCCAATTATCCAGTTCAGGTGGACTGAGGCCTGACCTTCAGAGAACCAAACCCCAACCTAGCCGGGCATTATGGGAGGTACAATCTCGTGTGTCTCATGGACTCCACTGCTGAGATCTTCACATTGGAGCAACCAACGTCCATCATCAACCTCATTACAGTGTCATAGTGGGCGGAGCTGGGAACCCGGAGTGGAGGTCTCATGGCCGGAGTCTTCAAGAAGCATAAAAAGCTGGTGGGAAATTATCCAGTTCAGGTGGATTGAGGCCTGGCCTTCAGAGAACCAAAACCCCCCACTCTAGCCGGGCATTATAGGAGGCGCAGTGACAATATACAAAAAAGTAGGCCACTTAAAATGGGCGGAGCTGTAAACAGCAGAGTGGTCTCAGCTCCACCCACTTTCCAAGGTAGTGGAACAAAACTAACCCACTAGAGTGTTAGAAGATTCCTACCAGAGAACTTAAATCTTCCCTCTATTTTATTTGGTCTACTATAGAACAAGGTGGGGTCAGAACCTTTTTTTATTATTATTGCTGTCCCTATTGAGCAGATTTTCCCACACTTCCTGTCAGGACAGGAAGTAATGTCAAATCTCTCCAGCGGGAACTCAGGAAAAATTATACCACATAGTATAGTGAGGAGGCTTAGAACTTCTGATCATTGTATATTGTTGTCCGCTCTTCCTTGTCATGGTGATGACTGAGCCTCCCCTTCCTTGTACGAGCATTACAGGGACAGGAAGTGAGAACATCTCCCCAATGGGGTCACAGAGATAATGTCAGGAAGATTTATCCTTTACTTAGATCCTCGACTTGTAGATGAACACATTTCGATATCCATCAGTGCAAAGGACATCTAAAAAGCCCGGTGACTGTCCTACTCACTGGCACACGGGGTCCTGGCCTTTGCGGTGTATACAGATGCCGTCATTTTGGCAGAAAGCGCCGTGACACGGTGACAGGCAGAAGGCGCTAAGATTGCGCTGAGGCACACATCGGAACCCTCGGGGGCACGAGAACCATTCTGTACACGGCTCCACCATATCTGTGGAAGAGAACAATGTCAGTAGGAGAACCATGACTGTCCCATTTAAAAGTGAGCTCTGGGCACAAAAATGCAGCAAATCTCTACAATTCATGAACGCTTTCCTATACACAATGATAGACAAATACCTGATGAGCTGCCGGAAATCCAGCGAGCTCCTAACTTACTGCAGTTACCTGCAACGCTGCACTGAAATCCCAATCAGTGTTATCAGCCCTGCCCACTTCTCCCCTGCTGGACTACAGATCCCCTCCCCTTATGTTACAAAGATGGAGTTTTCTGTAGTCCAGCACGGGAGAACTCGGCAGGGCTGACAACACTGCCACTGCTTAGGATTTTAATGCAACAAAGGTTTTCTTGTGCTGTCAGCTCACTACAGAGAGTTCAATGATACATGTGTTCGTAGAGTGCTAGACCCAACAGTAGGAAGGATGAGGGCTTTATATCTAAATCCTGTAAGCTGGGGTATGTTTGGGGGTCCCCCGGTGTAGTCTTTAAGGAATTTGAAAAGGATGAGAGTGCCACAGATCCAATAAATCTTTACTGCACATGAGAAGAGAAAGCCAACACGTTTTGGGGCTCAATGCTCCTCCATCAGGAGGAAATATTTCTCAGCCTTGATGAAGGGGGGATGATTTAGGCCCCAAAGTGTGTTGGCTTTCTCTTCTGACTTCTTCTCATGTGCAATAAAGATTTACCCGGTGTTCTATCAAAGTTTGTGACTGCGTTAGAATGTGTGACTGGTGACGTGGTCACACATTCTAACCTAATCCCGCCCATTTTTTCCGGCAAAAGGTGTAGAATTCCAACGCTTTGTCAGCGCTCCAGGGTAGATCGGCTTTGCAGATGGTATGTGCAGGAGAACTGATCTCCCCTGGAACAGCTGATCGGTCCCGAAATGTCACATCTATCTGACTTTGTGACTGCGATCTCACATTCCACAAAGTCGGACAGAAGTGACATTTCAGGACCGATCAGCTGTTCCAGGACATATCGGTTCTCCTGCACATACCATCTGCGATGCCGATCTACCCTGGAACAGCTGAGAAGGCTTTAGAATTCTTCACCTTTTGCCGGTCACATATTTTAACACTGGAAAAAATGGGCGTGATTATGTTAAAATGTGTGACCACGCGAACGGTGACATTCCACCGCTGGAAAACTGGGTGGGGTTAGGTTAGAATGTGTAACCACGTCACCAGTCACACATTCTAACGCAGTCACAATCTTTGATAGTACACCGGCTCAGATTAGATCTATAGTGTTCTCAACTACAGACAGTTAGAGGACCACCTGCATCTCCGGCATTCCCTGTACTTGTAATGTTCCACCTTCTCTGGCTGCTGGCTCCAACGGGTACATAGCAATATATTTTATATTTACAGCTTGGAAAATATTAAAAGTAAATTTAGAATCTGTCATATTTTTAGTCCTGAACATAATAAATAGAAGTCCTGTCGTTCTGGCAGCAGAAGACACTCCGGCTTGAAATGGTTATTTAATGACGTGAAGCTCTCGCTGAACATTTACTTAGGGGACATAAAATGTGACTGTTCTGAAATGGATTTCATTAAGTGAAACGCGGCAGGCCAGCTTTTATGGAGAAAGGAGAGTGCTGCCAGTGAGAGAAGGACGGGTCAGCGAGGTGAGCTCTCTGCAGAAGAATATCTACTGCCGGGGTGGGCAACCTTGGCTCTCCGGCTGTGGTGACTACTAGACATGTGCAATTCGTTTCCTTCCAAATCAATCCCAATGCATCTGAATGTCCGTTTCCGAATCCCGTCCGAATTATGTTCAAAAACAAAACTGAATCAGACATGTGACTTTTCTGGCCAATCAGATGTGTTTTTCAGTTAATGCATCCAAACGGGTCTGAACACGAATTTTCGTGACGGCAACATGGGAGCCATATACAGTATATACATATAATACTAAAGCTGAGGCTCCCAGACCCCAATGGCATCCGGGATCCCAATTTCCAAATTGCATTGGGGAGCCCGCAAATGCCATTCAGGTCTGGGGGCCATATACATATGTTACTAAAGCTGAGGTTCCGAATGCAATTGGGAAGTTCGGATCGCGAACGCCACTCAGGTCTGGGAGATTCAGCTTTAGTATTAATATCTGTATATGGTTTTCTGTGGTATTCCCAACGCATATTCGTAAACTCTTCCGGAACTAACAAAAATTCCGACTTCGTCCGAAATCCGAACCAAATTGAATCTTGGATCCGAATCCCGAATTATAAAATATCCGAACCGAACCAAATTTTTCCGCAGCTTACATGTCTAGTAACTACAAATCCTATCATGCACCTACCTCTTGGAGTCATGTCTGTGGCTGTCAATCCTGCAATGCCTCATGGGACTTGTAGTTCCACATTAGCTGGAGTGCTGAGATTACCTACCCCCTTATCTACTGATTACTGATAGACACCATCCCTGCTCACCTAACCCTTGTGTCACACATGCCCAGACAAGGGGTGAGCCCCTCCATAGAAGAAGCTGTCTCTGTACATGAACACGTCTCCTCACCTGCCAGGGAGGCGTTGCGGATCGTGGAGAGGAGGGTGTACTCCGAGGGGGCCAGGGTCTCAAACACCGACGTTGGGTTAGCAAGTACCAATTCCTGTTCGGCGGACATCGGGCTCCCTAGTCGCACGTTGAACTGCACTTTGTATTCCAGGGCAGCGCCAGCCAACCTAAAACAACAAGCACACAGGGTACTGCCAATGCAGGATAACGGGCAGGCTGCAATGGCGACTCCGGTCCCCTGAATCGGGCAACTTAGCGCTATTCAGGTAACATTTGCATTGTGTTAAAATAAGCAAATCCATTCAACTTACCTTCCATCTGAGTTTTATATCATTCTAAAATCAAGTCGCGTCACATTAGCCCCTTCCATTCTGAGAAATACAGAAGGGGCGGAGCTTGGAACCAGAGAACACACACATACCCGCATTTCAGTCCCTTCCTCTCTGAGGATTACAGAAGGGCCGGAGCTTGGAACCAGGGAACACACACACATACCTGCATTTCAGTCCCTTCCTCTCTGAGGATTACAGAAGGGCCGGAGCTTGGAACCAGGGAACACACACACATACCTGCATTTCAGTCCCTTCCTCTCTGAGGATTACAGAAGGGGCGGAGCTTTGACCCAGGGAACCTACTCACATACCTGCATTTCACTCCCTTCCTTTCTGAGGATTACAGAAGGGGCGGAGCTTGGACCCAGGGAACCCACTCACATACCTGGATTTCACTCCCTTCTTCTCTGAGGATTACAGAGGGGGCGGAGCTTGGTACCAGGGAACACACTCACATACCTGCATTTCAGTCCCTTCCTCTCTGAGGATTACAGAAGGGGCGGAGCTTTGACCCAGGGAACCTACTCACATACCTGCATTTCACTCCCTTCCTTTCTGAGGATTACAGAAGGGGCGGAGCTTGGACCCAGGGAACCCACTCACATACCTGGATTTCACTCCCTTCTTCTCTGAGGATTACAGAGGGGGCGGAGCTTGGTACCAGGGAACACACTCACATACCTGCATTTCAGTCCCTTCCTCTCTGAGGATTACAGAAGGGGCGGAGCTTGGAACCAGGGAACACACACACATACCTGCATTTCAGTCCCTTCCTCTCTGAGGATTACAGAAGGGGCGGAGCTTGGAACCAGGGAACACACACACATACCTGCATTTCAGTCCCTTCCTCTCTGAGGATTACAGAAGGGGCGGAGCTTGGACCAAGGGAACCCACTCACACCCACTCACTCACTGCATTTTCACACGCTCAAATTCAAGGCCATTCAGGAAATAAAGATAGCAACAACCAGATGGATTTAGACAATATGGTGGACAGATTATGGCATGGTGGATGTTTGAGACACTCCAAAGATAGGCCGTGTTCCCTGAGACAGTTTAAGGAGAATAACTTTACAGGAAATCTGTTGGGAGAGAAATACGGGTCCGCCATTGCTGACCTCCTTCTGGACGTCTCTGGTTTTAGTAGCTTCTGAAGCTGGCCATACACTGGTAGATTTCCATACAAACATCCTTGAGAAAAATCTGGTCAGAACATTCGATAATGCCGTCAGACATGACGAATGGCGACTGAAATTTAGTTTGATTTTAACATTCGATTTTGGAAAATTAATGGCGTTTCCTGAATGAAAACCACATTCACTGTTAGAATTTCATACGTTGGAGAAAAAACTTTCCATCCTGCTGCTTCAATTTTCCCAAAATTCCTCAAAATCCATTGTCCATTTCACCCAATTTACCTAACCCCAGAAAATCACACGAATGTTCCAAAAACAAATCCCTGAAATTCTATTGGTGTGAGGCCAGCTTTAGCCACAAACCCGACACAAATGTAGATTAGAAAGTTGGAGTGAAGTCAGAAGTGCTGATTTGCCTGCTCGGCCCAGGTCAGTGTCTCAGAGTGATGAAGCCAATGGAAGAAGATGACAGCCAGGCAACTAGATTTTAGAAGGTGAGGTCATTATGGCGCCTTCCAGGTTGTCTCACTCCCACAGGTCCCTTTACTAATGGAGGTTCTAATGGAAAGTATTCTTCTTGCCCATCGCAACCTTCTATCAAGGTAAACTAAAAATAATACTGGGCAGGCTCCCGTATGGGACATACGTTCTAAACAGGCAGTCAACACCCAAGATAAACAAAACTCACCATGGGGTGGTACTGGATATCTGGTAGAGAATAGAGACAGCCAATGGTGAGAGCGAGGAGAGACAACATGGGGAGAAAGCGAGGAGAGACAGCCAGGGGAGAGAGCAAGGAGAGACAGCCAGGGGAGAGAGCAAGGAGAGACAGCCAGGGGAGAGAGCGAGGAGAGACAGCCAGGAGAGAGCAAGGAGAGACAGCCAGGAGAGAGAGCAAGGAGAGACAGCCAGGGGAGAGAGCAAGGAGAGACAGCCAGGAGAGAGAGCGAGGAGAGACAGCCAGGGGAGAGAGCGAGGAGCTAAAGCCAGGAGAGAGAGAGAGAGACAGCCAGAGGAGAGTGCGAGGGGAGACAGCCAGGAGAGAGAGCGAGGAGAAACTGCCAGGAGAGAGAGAGAGACAGCCAGAGGAGAGTGCGAGGGGAGACAGCCAGGAGAGAGAGCGAGGAGAAACTGCCAGGAGAGTAAGGAGAGACAGCCAGTGGAGGGAGCGAGGGGAGGCAGCCAGGAGGATGAGCAAGGAGAAACAGCCAGGGGAGAGAGTGAGGAGAGACAGCCAGGGGAGAGAGTGAGGGGAGACAGCCAGGAGGATAAGTGAGGAGAGACAGCCAGGAGGATAAGTGAGGAGAGACAGTCCTTCTTTAACCCTTTCCTTCCTGTACAACTTATGCACTGGCTTGCTTGAAAAAATACTGCTTTACAATATGGCCGCTCTCATGTTCTCATATAACCAAGCTGTGTATGAGATCCCTTCCATCAGTCAGCCTGTGCCCTCAGGTGCATATATAACATGGAGTCCTATCCATGCAGTGATGTCATATATATTTACCATCTGATGCTCGCATGTTATATCATTCACAGATCACATGGGCTGAGGACAAAGTCTTAAACATTTGATACAATCTAGTTACAATGTCTCTGATATCCACATCCACTTCATAACCAGCGCAGTGACACAGCTGTTGCTATCGCACTTACGTCACATTGATCACGTCCGCCCTGTCAAATCCAGCCGTGTACTTGTATGCCGAAGTCACCTGCAGGAAGACATGAACCCGATTAGCTGTTTAATAACCGGCTGGGTAGAGGACTCGGCCAATTTGAAGCCCGATGAGGGTCACTGACCTCTTTGCTGAAGCGTTTCTTGCAAGGTTCAAGATGGTTGCACATTGCAGATTGTTGTACATTCACTTTGTAAGTCAGGCTGATTGTTGGCACTGAAGGAGATGAGTAAAGGGACAGAATGTTATCCACAGACAAGATTCTACTCCATTCTATGATATGAGCTGAACTCCCGGCACACAGATTATGGTGCATTGCAAAGCAAGGTCAGAGGCAGTCTCTTTACTGACATATGTGCTGCCCAATTAAAACTGGCTGACCAAACGCAGGAAAACAATGCCTGTTGTGTCCTAACGCCTACAGGTCTTAGCCCTCCCCCATCATATGAAAGGACAAGCAGAAGACTGATGAGCTCATTTCTATCAGCATGCTCCTTGCACTGCAGCACAGCTAACTGACTCCTTGTGTTGCTTCTCCCTCTGAGCTCTGCTGTACAGGGAGATGAAAGAGTCAGGTCCTTACACTGCTTGCATTTACAGAATACATTTACAATGTACAGTATAATTGAATACAGAGCTGCCCTCATTTGTGTCTTATACCCCTGTCGGATTTTTTATTTCTGTCAGTGGCCCTGTTGCAGATGTTCCCTTGCTTCCTGTTTGGTGAAACTGGTGTCACAATGACAATAAGTAAAGAAAAAACCTGAAAAAGGCTCTAATCCTTCCCAATTTATTCCAAACAAAAAGGTTTACGGCCTATGCCTTAAAGTCTGTACCCCTTTATAATTGCCAGTGTTTAAGATATAAGCCCCAAGGTGGCTCATGTTATATCAAGTAGCTCTTGGCTTGTGTATTTATTAGATGTATATGGACTTACATGGGGCATTTCTGGGAAGAAGCCATCTGAGCTACCAGTATGTCTTGCATGACAATTACTAACCTATTGTGGTGATATAGACATTACATTTACACTCTCTTTTATGTATTGTTATTTATAGGTTCCTCCAGAGAGAGCAGGAATACACATCACAATCTCAGAAGGATCTCAATAAGATTGCTTATCATCTCTGAGTTCCTAAAAGGATCACACCATCAAACACCAATTATTAGGCGATTCGTTTCATTCCAGAATCAAAATTCGTACAAATTTTCTGAAATTCGTACATTCAAGAACATCCGAATCCCAATGCATCTGAATGTGTCAGAATCCGAATTTCAGATCCCGTCCGAATTTCGTTCAAAAACTAAACTGCATCGGTCATGTGACTTTTCTGGCCAATCAGATGTGTTTTTCGGTTTAATGCATCCGAATGGGTCCGAACACAAATTTTCGGCAACATTGGCGCTATATACATATAATACTAAAGTTGAGGCCCCTAGACCCAAATGGCATTCGGGATCCGAATTTCCGAATTCCATTCGGGAGCTCCCAAATGCTATCCGGGTCTGGGAACCATATACATATATTACTAAAGCTCAGCCTCCCAGAGCCGATTGGCATTCAGCAGCTCCCAAATGCAATTGGGAAATTCGGACTCCTGAATGCCATTCGGGTCTAGGAGATTCCGCTTTAGTATTAATATCTGTATATGGTTTTCTGTGGTAGTTGTGACGAATATACGTTCATAAATTCATCCGAAACTAAAGAAAATTAGGATTTCGTCCGAATCCGGAACCAGAACCGAATTGAATTTCGGATCGAAATCCCGAAATATCTGAACTGAATTTTTCGGCAGCTTACATGTCTAGAGGCTGATAGAATGAGTCACCCGTTGGCTTTTCAATCCTATAAGTGGAGGGGTCTCTGAAAGTCACAGAAGTCTACCTACTTCTGCAACACTCTATAGTAGATCCACCACAGAGAAGTGAAGCCCTCTTGTAATGGAGTTGGGAAGCCAAAAAGATTTCTCCACCAGAGTTGCATAATTGTATACAAAGCTGATAGTTGACTGAACCTGTTGGCAGCTATTTCATAGAGACTCTGTGACCAGGGGGGTAACTACAGCAGGTATGATGTGCAGACACCTAGAGGTGAACATACCTGCAGCAGCCCCCCCATACCTTCCTGCCACGGCTAAATGTCAGTCTGTTTTTCCGGGCAGTGTCGGGGCCTACCACTAAGCCATGCCCTCATACATTCCTTTTGTTCCAAGTGACAGAGTCTCTGCTGACATATCAGTTGTAGATGAACTGATCCTTTCAGGTCAACATGTACTGCATACTATTTGCATGGAATCAGACACGGATGACTTGCATGATGATAAAACACACTCCTGCTCTATAATAAATGGCTGGTACTGTCTCAGGTCTTTCTTACAAACACTGCGGTTTCTCCAGTCTTACGATTGGAAAACCTGCCATGATATCTCTATGAAATATCTTTTTGAAAAGGTCAGTAAACAATAGCAGCTGCTGAACTACTTTTAGAAACATCTCTGCCGACAAATGAAAATGAAAAGAAGCCAAACAGACAAAGAATTGGTTTTCGTTGATGTGGAGGAAAATTCACGACTGACCTTTAAAAACTGGTTGTTGCTCATCTACGATGAAGATTCTGTCTCTGCCGGACGGTGAAGACATCATCTCACTAAGCGAATTGGATTGTGGTGAAGTCACTGATATCGTTGAGCTAGGAGATTCTGTTCTATAATGTGTCACTGTAGTAGCATGGTCTTGAGGCTGTCCCGAAGGAAGTCCTGATGTGGGATATGCGCCTACATCCCAAACTGGTGTTCTAGAATACTGCACCCCATTTTGAGTGTAGCCATGGTATTCACCAGTCGCTGTTGGGGCAGATACTTCTGTCCTATGCTCAATTACATTTGCATGATTGATAAATGAGGTCCTCTCTGTTGGTGTGTACACGTCCACAGCTTGGTCTCCTGGAGTTTGCACATCGGCTTCTTCATTGGCATTCATGGACAACTCTGGTCCAGTCCATGTGATTGCCTGATGATATGTAGGTGTTCCAGCATCTGATTGTGTAGATTGTATGAGCCCTTTGCGAGATGTAGGTACCTGAGAATAGGGTACACTTGGCTTAAAGGATGTCTTGGGGATCAATTCTGTTTGGTTGGTTAGACCAGCCTCAATATTGATTGCTGGTTCTACTTTCTCCCCTCTGTGGAATGTGATACTTGATTGTGTGAATGAGTCCATTTTGTTTCCAGTGGTTGGTTCTTTATCTGTGCCAAGTTCTGCCACATGACTTGTGATTGACTCTGTGTTTGTAAAATTTGATAAATGCTCAGTGGCAGACTGTGTGGTTGATTCTGGCTTCCTGTTTGTGAATGGTTCTGTTTGTGTGGTTGCCAATGTTTGTTTCTGGGTATCTGTTTCATCTGAGACCCATTCTGATTTTGTGGTGGGATGAGCCTTGCTCTCTGTTGTTGTAGTAGAATCTCTCTTAGATGCTGGTTCGCTTGGTGCAGTAGACTCAGCCCTACTCTCTGTGACTGGCTCCACCTGAGAGTCAGCCTTTGTCTCACCCGGTAGAATTGCTTCTGTGTTATTAGTTGATTCAGTGGTGACCTCTGTAATTGGCTCTAGAATTGTTGGGAAGACTTCCCTGGTCTTTGTCATGAATTCTGTCTGTGTGGGACCCTTTGTATGTGTGATTGGTTCTACTGGGCTCTTTGAGGTTGGTTTTGTTCCATAAGTAGATTCCAGAGTGTTGTTTGTGATGGGCTCTGTATTGGTGGATAATTCTATTCTGTTCTCTGTAGATGATTTTAGCCCATTATCATTGGAGTGGCTATCATTGAATAATTGTGGTTGTGTTTTATTAGCATATACCAATGTTATGGAGCTTGTCAGATTCTTTCTTGTTGGTTCTGGCTGGGACTGTGTGATCAGATAAGGCATTGTTGCAGTAACAGGTATCAGTGGGCTTTTTTTTGTTAAGTTAGACGGTTTCTGTGTGGACATCTCGGGCCAGACCTGTCTTGTAGACAGCTCTGTCTGTGCCTGTGTACCTAGAAGTGGCGGTGTCTGTGTGATTACCTTAGGCTGAGTTTTGATGGTTAAACCTACCTCTGATGTGCTTAGTTCTGGTAGACCTAGAAAAGTTTGATTTGGCTGCTTCCTTATGGTTTGTTGCTCCTGTGTTGGTGTGGTTAGCTCCTCTTGGGATGAAGGAGTGCCTGGTTGGTTCTGTGTGATCCTCTCACCTATAGTGGGTGGGGTGAGATCTAATGGAGGCTGTTTTGTTGCTGCTAGTTGAAGGTGTGTGGTTCCATTGTATTTTGTTGTTTGTGTCAAGTTGTACCTTGTGTGTGATTCTAAATGTCTGTGTATGAATGGCTTAGTGTGTAGGCTGGAGGGTGCTTCAGATTGTCCACCTTGTTCTACACTGTTCAGCTTGTGAACTGTAGTTTGACTGTCTGTTACAGAAATTGTGTGTTGTGTTGTGGGTTCTTTGGTTGTCGTTTCAGAGTGACTGTCAAAGACAGTCTGGGTAGTTAGCCTTAGATGAGCTGTACCTGAAAGTCCTTCTGCTGTTACCGACCCTATCTCATTCTCTTGCAGAGCTCCTATATAGAGGGGATTCGATGGCCTAGCACTGAAATGTGTATTATTTTGGATGGGAATTTCCCTCTGGACAGATGTTATTAACTCTGTGTGAAGCTGTTGTGAGTTAGACTGGCTTGGTTGTATCTGAGTGGTTAAATCTGGATGTTCCTGTGTATTTAGGTGTACTTGAGTCTGGGAAACATGATTCCTTTGTAAATGGTGATCTGACAGGTGTTTATGGTGGCTATGTGAGTGTGGCTGAGTGTGGTTGTGTAGGTGCTTCTGATGATGTCTGTTTGGTTCTAAAGAGGTTGTTCTATTATACGGTCTATCATTATGTTGAGATAATGTGTTGGTTTCGGTTTGGTTAGGTGACTGTAAACCTAGGTGTCTGTGTTTGTGAGAATGTGTCGAATTGTGGTGATTTTTATGGCCTTCTTTTATACCCAGCTGAGTCTGGTTCTTCTCTCTCTTGGCTTCTGTGGCTACCCCCGTCATCACAACACTCTGGACTTCCATTGCAGCATCTACAAGTCCATCAGAATGGTTATTTGAATGACTTACAATATCAGAAGTCCTTGCAGTCTGGGTGGCCAATACATCAATTTGTGTAAGGCCAATGGCACTAGGCTGAGTGGCAAATTCTGGATGGAACTGAACATTGTCTTCTTGAACAAGTCCATGAAGTTCTGTTGAGCTTAGGTTTGTGTGATTGAATATGTTTCTATCCGGTATCCTTACATTTACTTTGGATTTCAACTCTTGCATGACTTTGGAATCGTGTGTTCCTGACAAATTTACTTTTCTTGAAAGTCCAGCTCCTGAGACACCGTTGTGTCGATCGGCCTCAGGCACAGAAGTCACATTTTCAGAGTTCAATAGATGGTTCTGGGTGTTCAGAGAATTCAGTTCATACAAAATAGCCTCTTCTCCAGTTGTAAATGTGGAGTTAGAAGATTGAGCCGTATGTTGAAGGCTGTTAGTGAGAAAGCTAGAATTCTGATTTACAAGGGTATTGAGCAGAACTGATGTGTTACTTGATTTCTCCTTCAGCTGCCTACCCATCTGTGATACTGCTTGTAATGCCACTGGGAATTGTTTAACCCTATCTGCTGGAAATGGAACACCTTTTTGTCCAGGTTTAAGAGTGTTTCTCAGGGGTGTGTTGGCAGTACGCTGAGGAATGGGGCTGAATGGCAATGCTCTTGAGCCAGCAGTAAAATTGGAGTCCCTTGACTGACCAGGTTTTGATGTGACATTTTTATGATGTAAATGTGGAAGGCTTTGATATCTCGCAGAAGGGTTTTTAGTTGCAAATTTTTGAACTGTTTTGGCTTTGCTGGGTACAGTTGGAACTTTTCTAATGACTGGCCGCTTTTGAGGGGAATCGCTCAATGAATGACTTCTGGCAGTCAAGGGCATCTTAGTTGAATTCATCGGAGACTCATAGGGCGTTGAGCTTCTTTGCTGATAATTCGGAGAATTTGTATCACTGGTATTTGCACCTTCTTGCACTGGCCGGACATTGGCGGGATTCAGAAAACTATGTTGTTTTTTGCCATCTTTAAGAGGTGGAGGACGAGGCACGGCTGTCTTGTTTGCTGGTCCACGGGATGCTGGTAATGGTTTACGGAGCGTGGTTTTGTGGGTCACAGCCATGATGAACTGAGCCCCTAAGGTGGTACTTGCAAAGGATTCCACTGCATCGGTGTTATTGGCAACAAGCTCTAAAGGGGGATAAAAAAAAAAAAGAGAAGATATTGTACCAATAAGAACATCAACACAAAACAAGTTTTGTTGTTCCTCGTTAATCTAGGCCAATGATGTCATGTCTTAGCCTGAACATTTTGATCTCGTACGCAGAGTAGGGATACGGCTTCGGCTGCCTAGGATGTTTTGCCCAATTTTGTAAGAGAAACCCAGTATACGCTGCTCGAATGTTGGCCGAGTCCTGGCGAGACGGTCGAAATTCGAGCTGGTGGCTCTGTGGGCACCACTCTATTTGACAACAGACAACTACTCAATTGACTTTTGTTGAAGGAGTTGGACCGAAAATCGTTGGCTTACCAGTGGCTGCAGCCAATCAGGGTATACTGACGGCTGTGCCCGCTGGCTATCAGAATACAACAGGTGAGATTCCCTCATTCACATTGTTTAGGATGGAGTGGGGAATTAAGTGTATTTTCTTGTTTTAAAAGTTATTTAATGCCTTTTAGACTAGGTTCAAACCTGGGCGATCCGTGACCGCGCGGCAATTGTGCACAAAACCACACGGATTGCTGGGCTGTCACAGGGTTGCCACCACAGCCGATCGCACTGGCAGTGCCATTATTTTCTAATGGCACCCCAGTCGTGCTGGGCAGATTGCGCGGTTTTCTGCTGCGATTCCACCCTTGCAATTAAACACGATCGCGGCTAAACAATCCACGTGTCGTGTGTCGCAAAAAAAAGGTACTTGTGCCTTTTTTTTAGCGATTGCAGCACGGATGTAAGGGCATTGAAATCAATGAACCAACTAAGAAAAGATGTCCTTGAGTTAGAAAAAGTCCAGCGGAGGGCAACCAAACTAATTAGGGGTATGGAGGACCAGAGCTACGAGACGAGGCTACTAAATTTAAACATGTTCACATTGGAGGTGAGGAGATTAAGGGGGGATATGATTTCCATGTACAAGATGTTCAATGGTGGTAGCAACATTAGCGATAAACTGTTTAAAATTAATTCCATTACAAAAACTAGAGGCCACCACCTAAAATTGGTGGAAAAAAAATTCCAGCACAAGGGGCGAAGGGGGTTCTTCACAGTAAGATCAGTTAGGGTCTGGAACTCACTGCCACAGGCGGTGATTTCAGCAAATAATGTGGAATTGTTCAAGAAACTTTTGGACGATTTCTTAAGGGACCGTAATATACAGGGGTACAGGTACTCCTAGAATGAGATCCTAATAGGTTGGACTTGATGGACTAATGTCTTTATTCAACCTCAAATACTATGTAACTATGTAACTATGTAATGAGGCTACGCGGAAACCGATGTGTGCACGTGATTGTGCGTTCCCGGAACGCACGTTCCCGGGTATCGCTCAGATCTGAAGCTAGCCTTATGAATGTGGTAATGTTTGAATGACCATAACCTGGTCAGAGTTCTACTGACATTTTTTTGGACAAAAAATAGGAAAGTTTGACAGATCAGGAAACCTTTATAATGAGACACTTAACTTTAAAAGCACACGGCTCATACAAAACAAACAGGATGGAATGAGATTCAGTGTTATGTCAACAATAAATAGGAAGCCGTGCAGCGTGTAATCAGTTTTCATCCTACATGTGCATAAATTACCAAGCAGCACATATGCCTCTCCCGTCTCAAACGTGACAATTCTTAAAAATTGTTAGAGGAACTGGATTCAAGCTGTCCATGAGGAAAGCCCAAATTAGCCACTGGGTAACAGCCAGATCACTAAACCCTGCAGATACATAATAGCTGTCAATTACGCTAGAGTGGGACAACATGCACAGATTGTGTTAATGAACTGCTGAGATTCTGACAAAGCTCCCGTGGCAGATGGCGCATCACGTGGCACTTCCAGGAGTGATGGAAGCCAAGTCTGGTGCCACGGTGCCATGAGACAGTTTGGAAAACACTAGCTGCTAACAGACTCGTCACTCTCGCGCCGGTGCTTTAAGGAGGCTCGTTTACTTTGCCCATTCAGGGAAAGGTAAAAGGGTCTCTTTGA